GTTTTCACTAATACATATTATAATGTCTAGTTGGTCCTCAATGAAAATGGTGCCAAATGTGCATCCAGTATGGCTTCCACAAAGGTGGTCTTGAAAATTTTGCTGTCTCTACTGTAATGTACATCAATATTGTGTAGTCAATTTTTTTTCTGTGATTGATGGTTGTGAATGGAATTTTTGCATATCTGATTTTTCTCATCTTAAGTAGTACGAGGTTAGTGGAATTTTCCATAGTAATAAATTAGTTTTCTATAACATTATGTTGCAACATAGATCAGATGGGGATTTGTGTATGAGATCTGATAAATATTTAATTCTTATCTCAAGATAGGCTTTGGAATCCATAACTTATCTGAGTTTATAATAGTGTTCAGAAATAATTTTAGAATAATTATTTGTTTAAATCATTCATTGGAATAACTAAGTACTGGTTGGTTGGATTAGCATATTATTTTGAGATTTTTGTGAATTCATTTAGAGTGTGACATTCTGGATGGCATCTTTGGCATATTGGGACATTCAAGACTATTTGTACATCTGGACATTCAAGACTATTGGTACATCTGGACATTCAAGACTATTGGTACATCTGGACATTCAAGATTATTGGAATTTATTTGGAACATTCTGTATTTTTGGACTTGTGAAAGGACATTTAGGATTATTTTGGATTTAATTCACTTTACTGTAAGTATCTTAAAAGTTTCACTATGTAACTTAGAGAAGTAAATTGCTTGTTGATTTTACTAAACTTTTTGGTTGAATTTTGTAAATTTTTTGGTTTGGCTTCTTTCTGTTACGTAGTTTAAGACTTAGAATTGTACTCTCCATGATTGGATGATCATATTGAGATGGGATTTTCATACAAAAAATTGTTGTGATGTGTATTTGGATCTATACAAAATAGTGCCCATTTGGTATCCAAATATGTCTATCACAATTCTAGGTGGCAGGGTTTGACTTATTAATGAGGTTGGAAGGGGGCAGGGGAAAGACAGCATAATGCAAACTTTTAGAAACATGATTTCCCACTTCTAAAAGTATGATGATATCCCATAAAAGATTTAAATTAAAAGTATTTGGGAGTATTAAACATTAGTATCTTTAAACAAAATAAAGATGAAGATTTGATTGAGGTGCATGGTTGAAATAGTCACTGATAAAACTGTGAGATAGGGTATTTGATGGGTGTTTTTTAATGATTTTTAGCAAGTCTGCAGAAGTTGAACTTAGAATATCAACATGTCTGTAACATAATATTTGTATTATTCACAGGAGGAAGATTGTGTTCCTTTTCTCCATGCATAGAACAAGTTCAAAAAACATGTGAGAAACTGACTGAACTGGACTTTGTTGAACTCTCCACAATGGAATGTCTTGTCAGAAACTTTGATATAAGGACCATCAGTTTACCCATTGCTGACTTAGGACCTCATTCAGGAGAAGCTGCCAATAACTCCAGTAGACAGAAGGCAGTTCTACTGGACATCGGTGATGCAGACAAGACACAAAATACAAGTAATGATGAGAATCAAATGAAAGTCAACACCAGATATCATCAGGATTTAATCGGACAGAAAAATGAAACAAGTTTCTGTTTCAAGTCTGGAGTTCCTCCAACACAAATGCCAGGACATACAGGGTTTCTTACATTTGCTACTTTGTATCCACAATGATGTATGACTAAAACAATTAAATTTAGTCCATTTAGCAAATCAAAATTACTTATTTGTTTTTTTTATGCTTTGCCATCGATGTGGAGGAGGAAGGGGCATATAATATTACCTTTAATCAGAAGTTTGTATTTAAAAATGTTTCTTTTTTCCCTCAAACTATTCTTAACTAATTGTAATTGACAAATTAGATTTTATTAAAATAAACAAGTTATTTTATCTTCTATAAAATTGCACTTGTGTAATAAAACAAAACATATTTAGCATAGAGGGACAATTAGTTAACAAGGAACTTTTGTCTCAGACAACTATAAATAAGAGCATTCACAACTTGTAGGCTTTACCATTATATATCATGGCAGAGAACATGGTTTGCAAAGATATTGTGAATTGGGTGAATGATCTCAACAGTTGAGTAACAATGAGTAAAGGGCAGTGTGTTTATAGTGGATGTTGGGAATTTAAACCATATAAAGATTAGATATTTAATGGAAACTTATTAAAGCATAGTGAATGGAACCAAATTTTATACATTTGTTATTGGGTGAAAGTGCCCAGAAATCGCATCTTGAAAGGGATGAATTACAAGCAAGATTCCAATATCAGCCTGGTATAAAACTTACATAAAATTGTTTGGTGAATCTTTTTTACTTGAAAGTGATTCGATGATGAATTCTGGCAAGATAACAGTACTCCCTCTCCCACGAGTCCTGCAGAAATATGAAGTCAGTTGCTTGAAAAGATTATGTCTAAAGATGATGTCCATAAAGCTGAAATATTGTGAACATAAAAGCTGGCAATGGATAACTATTCATATCGGACTTCTCAACTAAAAACAAAGAATATGTTTAGGCTGTTTCCTGATATTTTTAATGTTAATTTTCAGATGCCAACCAAGTCGATGTTTTGATTATCACATTGGTGAATTGTAAATAGAATTTATTTTAAAAACATATTAGATGCTTTTGTCAAAAATATTCCTTGAAAACTTTAACATGTTCTGGAAAGGTCTTGGAATTTTGTATTTCCAACTGTGTACAAACATTAATTTAGGTCATTTTTGGGGTAGTTTTTGGTGCTGTCATACTGTGTACAAACAACTTGGTGAACACAACATTATTCAAAAACATTCAAGGTCCATGTACATGTCTGCAGTCTCTTGTTCAGACTTGATTTCTAATCTCTTGTTCAGACTTGATTTCTAATCTCTTGTTCAGACTTGATTTCTAACAATTGTAACATCGGTTGTAATAACTTGCATGTGCTCATGTTTCTGTTGTTTTGGATTTAAGATTTTCTTAAATATCATTTGAATTTTTTTTATTCTTGGAATTATTATAAAGCTATGGTAATTCTTTATACAAAAGGGTCACTTGTCCCATTAACCTTCTTGTCCAGGTCACTGTCAGAAAATTTGCATTTAGGTTTTTTAAAAGATTGTTTCTGAAATCTCTTGATGGATTCTATTCATATCTGGAACGAGTCACTATGAACTTGTGAAGAAAAGGTAATTCATTATGTGACACTAATTTGCCTTTCTATCCAAGGAGTCCAATTCATATTAAAGATAAATTTGTTGTTACAGTCTCTGTTTATGTTCTTTGTTGATATTTTCTAAATCTCTGAATGGATTCTGTCTATGCTTAGAATAAATCATGAAACTTAGGCAACTCATTCTGTAATATGTTCACTCACCCCTTTGACCTTTGAGTCAAAGTCTAAGAAAATTTAGAGTAATATTCTTTGGTGAAGGTTTTTCACTTGCTTATATTTCCCAAGTCTTCAATGGATGCTGTTGAAACCTAATCTTGACTGTTCATTTTGCATTACACCTGCTTATCTCTTTGATACTGGTTTCAAGTCCAAACATTTTAAAGCAATGCTTTGATTGCAGGATGACAGTAGCACTGATCTCATATTCTAACATTAACCCATTTCTTCCAGGAATATGTTCCTCAATCACATTTATTTTAGGAACCTAAACACTGCTATCTCCTGAATCCAGCCCCTCCTTAAGACAAAAATTTCTGTTCTGTAATAAATAGCCAATGGGCATTAACTATTGCACATTACCTCCTTTACAGGTGGTGCCATTTTAAGCTCTCTTGTGAAATGACAAAATTTTGTTCACTTCAACTCTCTGAATCAAGTGGATATTTGTGCTTTTTTTCATTCTATCCATTTGAGGATTTGTTATTTTTGCCTGTATTATGGAATTTTGTACAGGTGGTACACAATTTTGTAAATTTTGACAATCATAATGTGAATTTTTGTCAAATTATGCAAACTTAGTTTCTGCCCAGATGGCACAAGCCCCTCCCCCCTCCAGCTACCATTTGGTCTGTAAGTCTGGGCACATGGGGTTTATAAATGACACAAATGACCATTTTTATGTCCTTTAATCTTCCTATGTCCTTTCATCTTTCTTTGCTGTGTTCATGAATTTTGACACTTTGGGGGTTTCTACAGAATTCTAGGCAGTCCAGGTGGCTTAGCCCCCTCCCCCATGTGCAAAAATGGACTTTGGGCCAGTAAATCTGGGCGCATGGGGTTTATAAATAACTTGAATGATATGAGCCAATCAGCCACACCTCACTTTTGATCCTGTCTTGGCTGCTAACCATACCATCCAGTTGTCTGGCTCTCAATATATACCATCTGGCTACACCTCAGATTTGATGCTGGCTTCACTGCAGACCATATTGTCCAGCCATCTGGCTATCAGAACATACAGTTCAGTGATCATATGATTTTTATTACATATTCTTTTCCTCATCAAGTTGGGCCATGGAACATTGACATTACTGGGGATCTTATTGATAGGTCCGTCTATCCGTCTAACATTATCATTACTTGGGCAGTTCAGCCGTGTGTGTACATTGCCATCTGTATGATGGACATCCATACTGGGTTTTTGTTTTTGACAAACTGTACTGATTCGATGACAACATCCTGCAGCCATTTATTTGTGGCTTACTCTCTTGGACAGTACCCAAAGAGTATTAGAAACTGTAGATAGATTTAACCTGTGACACCAGGAATGTATTTTATGTATATTTATTTTTTTCCCAACCAGGACAACCCACACATTGAATGTGGGCATAAAACCTGATGATAGTTCATGCCACCATTGTGGAATGAGTGTAGCTTTTAGGCATCAATAAAATGTATGCATGCTGAACTCAGAATGTCTGTCACCCCATCTTTTGCACCAACATACAAGCAAAGCCTCAGTTGTTTTTGTATAAAGAGAGTCATTCTTTCTGTCATCTAGCAGTTGTGAAATATCTATGAATTTGCCAAGAGTTTATCTACCAAGATAACACTCATTTGGTGGCTTAGTGATTAGAGCATCTACCTCAGATGCAGGAGGTCACAGGTTTGAACCCTGGCTGAGTCATACCAAAGACTTATAAAAAATGGTACAAACAGTTGCCTCACTAGGCACTCAGCATTAAGAGGTCTGTGTTAGGTCTGGTTGCCATGATGTCAGGATGTGACTGAGTGAATATTTGCCACATGATGCCCCCCAATGCTAGACATCACTATAAACTGCCTCACTACAGACATAGCAATATGGCTGAAAAAAATTGTTAAAGCTACTTTAAAACTCCAAATCACACACACACACAAGCACATATCTGCCAAGACCAGTGACAGACTTAAAGATTTAATAATGTTCATTTCCTTGACTATTATCAACATGTTTTGTTTTGTAATTTGATGAGGTTTGTATAGTTTTTGTTATGTAATCTTGTAAAGCATTTTGAGCTTCTAAAGATTAGGCACTGTCTCATGTACACATTATTATTATTACACAATGTGTTCAGGTGAGTATTCTAGGAAAAACATATTTACTAAAATAATTTGCAGTCATCTCCCTTTACAATGCAGGATGAACAAGTACTTACCTTACAGCTCTGTATCACCAAACAGAACACACATTATGACATAGGAGTGCAATGGTTTAGTGAGACATTTGTGTATTGTACTTGGTAAACAGAATGCAGCTGTGTAAACAAGCCAGATTTTGTTCATTTATTATGTCAATATTGAAACAATTACTTCAACGAAGTTAACTATTCTTTTTAAAGATAAATACATCAGTTTCATTGCTACAATTTTAAAAATAATCTCTTGACTGGAGCTCTGGGATTATTTAAAATTACATGATTAAAAAAAAAGCATTATCGATTGAATTAGATCCACACATGTATTGTTAAGAAAAACCCATATTGCAGCTTATACAACTGTACATGTTGGTTTACTTTAGTTGAGTCAAAGTCATAAGGTCTTTGTAACATCTGCCCCCAGATTACATGGATACTGTGCAGTTTGCTGAGTTGGAGCAATCATGAATAATCATTTTTTTTACATGACCATTTACTAGATACCTACAAAAATAAGTTTTTCAAACTTTAAAAATTATATGCTTAAATAGGATGTGAAATTTCAATGTTAGAGTACAGCTAATATCTTAAAATCACATAACATCACACCAGCCAGGTTCGGTTTAATTATTTAAGAATAATGCTGTAGGTTTAATAAAATTGTTCAGCAAGAGATAGGCTGTATATAGTGATGAGTATAAAAACCACTTATGCATGGGAGCCTACTGGCAAGCTTTCTCATCTACCCATATTGGTTGAGCCCAAGAATCAAACCCACAAAGAGGTGAGATGGCAGTGATGGGTAATGACTAGCACTATAGACCCCTAGGTCACCTGAGGCCCCAAAGAATAATGTGTGTGATGTGATTTAGACTTTTTAATGTAGTTTTAACAATTTTTCTGACATCCCTACGATTTCTGCAGTGTGGCAGTTCATAGTGATATCTAGCATTAGGGCATCATGCTGCAGACATGTAGCATGATGTCCTACCATGTCACATTATCCTGACTCCAGGCCAATCAGACCTAACACTAACCTCTTAATGCTGAGTGCCAAGTGTGGCAACTGTTAATACCATTTTTTAAAATCTTTGGCTGGGATTTGAACCCGCTACCTCCCACATTCAAGACGGATGCTCTAACCACTTGGCCACTAGAGCATTATAGAGAATAATGAACAGCAAAAGCAAATTGTGACATTTTATGGGCAATGTGAACAAAAGCTGGTGTAATGTGATCATATTTAGTATTTAGGGTATATAACTATTAATATGTTACTGTAAAGTAAGTGTTTTTCATCACGAGTTAATTCATACTTGGTTCGAGACCAAAACAAAAATGATCTACCTGAAGAGTCAACACAAGTCCATTTCCATTTAAGGCATATTAAATACCTATCTGCCAGTAGAGACAACTATTAAATACTGATTACTAATCTGCCTGTAGTTTCAACAGGAGCCCACTCACATCAAGGGCATATTAAGTTCTGATCTACTGGCAGAGTCACAGGAAGCCCTTTCCCATTAGGGGCATATTAAATACTGATCTCCCTGTAGAGACAACAGAAGCCCACTCCCATTATGGGTATGTTACATTCCGATCTAATTGCAGAGACACAGGATGCCCTTTCCCATTACGAGCATATTAAATACTGATAAAAATAATCTTTATTGCTTAAACCATAAGGACTCATAAATGAATTTTAATTGTGTTGAGATCTGGTGAAACTAATGTCTACTTTCACTTAGTTCTGACATTACAAACAAACTAATGCCCAAGTTGATTTTAAAATCAAGGCATCAAAAAAGTTGCCAAGATATTTTACAAAATTATCACGTGAAACAAAATGAAAAACTCTGAGAAAAGACTGTTTAAATTTGTTTATTAGACATTGAATAAATCATATGAGACAACTCCTATGCCCTGGGTGCATCCATTTATTTGGCTTAAAATAAAATTTCAAAATTTTGTAGTTCCACTATAATGCTGCACCCCCTCCCTCCCAAACCATAACAATTTTAAGGATTGAGAGCCAAGTCCCATTTATTCATCTGAGGTGATACAAAAACCTTTTGCTCATGCAAAACTTGTTTCAAATCTTATGGGTTAATAGAGACAGTAATGTATAGCCTTGTATTTGTCTTGAATATACTTCATTTTTATAATAAGGAGCTTCTTTTAAAAATGACAACATTGGAACTTACAAAGCTTGAGACAGAAAAAAAAATCCACAAAGTATTTAAAAAAAATATCATTTCTATAACAATAATAATGAAAATATTGCATCACAATGCACATGCCCTAATGAATGTTCATGTACTCTTATCACAAGACAGAATAATGATAATTATAACAATAATTACCATCAGGCACTTCTTCCACATGTACACCCCCACCTCTTAGTTCCCAACTCGGACTTGGAGCAAAACTGTAACGTAGTTGTGACTTTTGTGTTGTCTCCACTTTGTTCCATATCAACGTTTTGCATAAAAAGCTAGTGAAACACTTGAACAAGTACATACACTTGTGAAACAAAAGAGTTGCTGCAAGTGAAATCAATTGACCAATGAGTGGGCTTGTTACATGTTCTTTTGTTGTTGTTGTTGTTGGGCGTAACACCATTTTTCAGCACACGATAGGCTATTCATGGCGGCCAGTATTAATGGTGGAGGAAGAAACAGGGAAATCACCAGAAAGAACCACCGACCCACGAGAAGCTACTGGCAAGCTTTCTCACATATTCACATTCGCTGAATCCTAGACTCGAACAGTGCTTTAGATCACTCGGCCACTCAGGGTCCCACATGTTCTTTTGTGTATTCAATATGGCAACATACATAATATCCACACTGCATGACACAAAAGAAAAAAAATCTTGTAAGCAAGTTTTACATTGGAGAAAACTGAATTTGAAATGGCTCCATGTCAACAGATGGTACAATGATTATTTCCAACTATCTTCATATGTAAATATAATGAGCACCAGTCTTAGAGCAGAGCAGCTGCATCCAATCATACAACAGAGAAGCTAATGCTGTGTAGCTAGATATATATGCCAATGGTCAATGTGGAACAAAGTGGAATAACAACCCATGACTAGACAAAATATCTACATGCAGGAACATGTACTAGTTCACTTGGTCTGTACTCTATTTGCAAATTCTGTATATTGCAAGGAAGCACTCATTCCCTTAACAAAAATTGTATAGTTAGAAAAAAGGCATAGATTATATTACAAAAGACTAGAATTAAATAAAACTCAATACAACAATTAATAAAATATTTCAAATGCTATAAGAGATCAAGTCAAAATTTTCATGTATATAAATGTAAATAATAAAAGATTTGGCCATAAGAAAAACATAAAATCAAAATACAGGAAGTTAATGAGCATTCTACACATTCAAACCTTACTAAAAATTTGTGGAATGATTCATTTTTATTGTTATTATCTTAATTTCCAGCCTTGACAACAATTATACAAGCAAAATCTAATAACAACTGATTAACAAAGCCATACAAGCCATTACAAAATTCCATACAAATTCTTTGTGTCCAGAGCAGAAGGATAATATACAACCAACCACTTTTTGTCTGAAGTGAAACAATGATGAACCATATAATACCAAACATTTCCAAATATATAGGGTGCAGATATGTATACTGAGGGTGGAAAGCAGAAATAGTACATTTTAAATCAGTACATTTCCCAAATCTTTTCATCACTTTTCATTGATTACATTACAAACAATTTTGAGTAATTTGCCCAAACCATTTTATCACTTCACATTCAGTACAGACATTGTATCGGAAATCTGACAGCAAATTACCCAAAACTTTTTATCACTTTCATTCATTGCATCTTAGACATCATATCTGAAATCTGACAGTAAACTGTCCAAACTTTTTCATCACTTTTCATTCAATGCCATTATACCTTACAGACAGCATATTTGTAATGCTGATGTAAATATCTGTCATCAAATTTGAAATCTTCACCCCTGAAAAATGTCTGTATATCACAATTCCACCTTACAATAGAACTACCAATATCACATAATATACATTTATAGTAGATATGTTTTCAAATGTTTTAATTCTTTAAGCTTCAACTACAAATGGAGTTTTTGTTATCACAAATAGGCACACATTGCAATCAAAAGTAATTAAAAAAGAATTCAAAAAATATTAAAATGGAAATGACTCGTTTTTCTAGCTGTGGATAATAACAGTAATGGATTTGCGGCTATCCTCAAAATGCATAAATACATGCATCACAAAAACACATAAATAGAAATAGAACTGGATAACCATTACAATTTGATAGTTTATAGGATTTATATCTTGGTAATGCACATTTTTTTCTCAGATTCAAGATCTCAATATGCAAAAATGTTTGAAGTTAAAAAATTATCTGCTTTGAACTTCTCAGCCAAAATTTGAAATCATTAACTGGGTTTTATCACACCAAAAATTATAAAATTACGTCACAAGTTGAAACATTGCTATA